GTTCTCATTGATCATTAAACTTGGTCTTGGCTGGCTGTTCTTGCTGATCTTCTGGGGGAGGGACCTGGTGCCGTGGTTCTCAAATGTCTTTGCCTGGAGGCGGAATTGCCCTGCTAAGTAATCTGCTTGGGTTTGCTCTTGGGAGCTTTTGTTCCCTGCAAGCTTTCTGCACAGCCTTTGGAGGATGAGAATGAAAATGGCAGCCCCCCAATCTCCACCCCAGAGGACCCAAGAACCCAGGGTCCCACTCCTCAGTGAGCCCCCAGAGAAAAGCAGTCAATCACTCCCATCTCCCTGTCTCTGGCTGCACTCCGTGCTCACCTGGCCTGTGACTGAGCATTTCTATCTCTGGCACATGACCCCTTTTGGAGTCTCCAAACCCAGCGGATCCCTGTGGTGCACTCCCATGCTGCTCCTCCCAGGGGAGGTAGGGGAGTCTCCCCGGATCTGCCGCTTGTTGGGTCCCTGCAGGAAGAGCAGTGGCCTGACTGTGCTGTGGATCACAGTTTATGGCGACCCTGAGCTGAGAGCCCGCTCCTTGGCTCCATCTATGCAGCTGGATTCCCTGCTCTGATACCTGGGAGCTCTGCCGCACTCAGGCACCCCCAGTCTTTCTGTGACTCTGAGGGTCTTGAGATCACACTGTCCTAGCGAGGGTTCCACCCCCTGCTTAGCCACTGAAGCAATGTCCCTCAGACTTCTAAAATTTCCGATTTTGTGCCCCGCTGCTCTAATCACTTGTCAGTAGCAGCTGACAGAGGACCCCTCCCCCACTGTCTATCTTCACAAATATTGCCTCTGATTCACTTTCCCGCACGTCCTACCTTCCAGAAAGTGGTCGCTTTTCTGTTCAGAGAGTTGCTGCTATTCTTTTCTTCACTCTCTTGTTGAGTTCATAGGTTTTCAGAATGGTTTGATCCCTATCTAGCTGAATTCCTGGGACCAGACAAAATTTTGATCTCCTACTCCTCTGCCATCTTGCTCCTCCTTCCTCTATACTTTTCCTTTTTATATGAGGATTTAAAGGGGAGATATATGGGCTTAACTGGAAATGCTGTGTTTTTCCACTTGCAAACTTTTCAAAACCAAGAACCATGCCTTATTCATTTTTATTTTCCCTACAGTACTTAGTCTAATAGTTTAGTAAGTTCCACATAAATATTTATTGACAAAAATTATATACTTTTCAGAAATAGAAAAACTAAGTTTTACTATATGAGTGAAACCCATATATGTTAGTTGTGTTTTTTGTTTTCATTTCTATTTCTTTTTTTCTCACCTAGATATGCAAATATTTATGGATTATTGGTTATTGATAAGGTGCTAGGTTGAAGTAATGGTGTAAAAGTAGGCACATATAGATCTGTTAGCATACTGCATAGCTTTATCTATAATGTCTCGATACTATAGTTTCAAAAGTAACACACGCAACATTTTCAACTGCATGCATTTCCCACCAGTTCACTGGCAAAGCTTGCCCATTGAGGTAGTTTGTCATTGCCACAGTTCTACCTCCCTTCTTGAGTACTTCTCTGTCCTTGGGAAGAATTCTGTACCTCCATGTTCCTCTTCAAATGTCCAAAGTCTCACACCTGTCCTAGGGCTCAGCCCACCGTCAGACGTGGAATAATCCATTTCTCTCTGCTTATTTACATTTACTGTTTTTAAATTGTTTAAATTATGACTGTTTCTTATTGAAAACTGGGACAAAACAAAGGATAGAGGTAGAATAAGAAAAAAGAAATAACAACCATAATAATGTTCTAGACACATCACTGTCATGTTGACATGTTGTCATTTCAGTTTATTTTTTATATGTTTTAATATTGGTAAATTCATATTGCATAACAAAGTTTTACTTTTATTTTCTGTCTAATTTTATAGCATTTGCCATTTATTTTGTTATTTAAAAAATCAACTTAAATTTTATCTTCAGCTTTGCTTAACAATTTATCATGGGACATATTCCTCTTGATTTTAATTTATATATGCTAAGATGAAGATGTAAGTTGTCTTTACATCTCTCCCTTCCCTAAGAAATAACTCCCTTCCCTAAGAAATAACTTGCTCATTGCCCAACACAAAAAGCTGTAGGGTAATTCCTTGTTCCCCTCCAATTTATGCTGTCCAGTGTAACCTTTTAGATTCAAGTGCATAGTGAAATGCTCTGGGATTGTTATCATGTTCCACTTCAATCTATTTTTTATTCCAGTATTAAAAATTCTTTTTTTTTTTTTAGCTTTATATATAGTAGTTTTACTATTTGGAAAGGTAGGTTCCTACATCATTGTTTTTCCTCTTCTCAATATACATAGTTTCCAATCCAACTGTTTTCAGATGAAATTTAAAGAGCATTTGTTGTTGTTGTTTTGTACTTATATAAAAATTTTCATAACATTCTCATGTGTTTTTATTGTGGTGAAAAACACATAACAAAAAAATTTACTATGCTAGCCATTTTAAGTGTACAGTACAGTAGTGTTAACTATATGCACATTGTTGTGCAATAGAGGTCATTAAAAACAAAAAACTAGCCTTGAGTTGGTAGCAGGTGTTGATTAAGTAATTTGAGGAGCTCAGAATTTCAAGCATTCTGTCTACCACGTTTTTGTTCCTTTCCTCATTTTCAAGTCCTCTAAGTGAAAAAAATGTACCCCATGATCAGTGTCCTTGCTTAGATTCAGCTTCCTCTCCCTATGGAGACTCTATGGATTTTGCAAACTGCCTTGGTATTTCATCTGCTTTGGTAAAAACAGAGATGCAGCCACTTGCAAAACCAGAAACCTGTAATTGAACTGACTGTAGAGCTATCCATCTCCCTCCTCAATTGAAGAGATACTCTAGACAGGAAGATGATGCCAATCTCACACAATGCTCATGTGGATACTTTTTCCCCACAGACTGTAGGAGTAGAGGCCAGTTCAGAGCATTCACACAAGAATCTCGAGAGAAACGCTCTGCTCAATACAGCTATGCTGATGAGGAAGATAAGGACTTAAGTGATCTAATCAGTAGGTATGTACATAAATATCTAATTTCTTTGGGCTATTTACCATAGATTTATTTCAAATATACAATTTGAGGGGTTTTATAGAAACCATGGTTGACTCATTTACATATAGGATAAATTATACAACAATGAACAAATAAATAAATTTTGTAATAAATATGGGTTCCTTTTCATTCTGGGACATCATATCCAGGGCATACTTAGCAATAAATATTTCTCAATAAAGTACAGAAAATTGCACATCATAGATGTTATTTATGATTTAAATTTAATGATTCCTTAAATTACATTATGGATATTGCTGTTTTTAAAATTCTTTTCAAAAATAGGAAACTCAGCATATTGTTTGTAAGAAAAGTAATAATATTTATCAAGCTAAGTTGATTTTAATTCATGTATAGTGTCTTGCAAGGAAGGTTTAATTTGTGACCAAGATGGGATATTTTTGATCCCTCAGAAAATCGAGAAATGTCAATCTTATTCCTTCATCAAAATCTTAGTCTCTTTAAGATTATGGTGACCTCATGGATGTTCTGCTTACCTGTAGCCTTAGTCACTCAGCTACAGATTGGTTAATTTCAATTTTAGTCTCCTGCCAATCTTATCAAATTTGACTCAAACATGAGCCTTGCAATTGGGAGTTCTGTTTATTTTTGATGTGATAATAAAAAGATAATACCAGTTTTGTTTTTTCTTCTAACTATACACACTGCAGTAAGCCTTTGTAGATAGTTCTGTTGTGCTGAAGACTTGTTTAGACCAAAGAGGGCCAAATCCCATCACTCAGTGTGCACAGATCATTCAGGCTATGATATCACTTTTACTTTTCTCTGCACATTCATCTTTCTTGCATTTACTCTCTCTCAGTCACAAATTGAGCCATTTTTCAATACATTATTCATGAATTAACATCAGTTTAACTTGATAAATATTATTTTTTTCTTACAAGCTCTATGCTGAGTTTCATGTTTTTAATAATATATAGCAACATCCATACTATCCATCTTTTCCTTCCATCCTCCCCCCACCTTCCCCACAATCCCCCAGTAATCTCCCTAGCTGGTATCCTTGTCTCTCTTCTCCCTTTCCACACTGTCTAAAACACAAATATGATCAGGCCTAAAATGTCTGTGTAGTGGTTAAAAAAGGACTTCTAAATTTTGCTTTTAAAAATCCTGATTTGCATCCAGCTGCACAATTTAATAGCTGCATCATATGGACATATTAACTTTCTGTTACAGTATTCTCATCTGAAAGACAGGTCTGCTTCAAGTGTCTCTTGGCACTGCTGGGTGCATTGAGTGAAGCGATGTGGCATCTAGGTCAGAACAATCAGAGCTGCATGGTCCCTGAAATGGATGAAGAATTATGGTCTGCTTTATTTAGCTTCCCTGACTCATGCCACCTCCTACCCCTAGCCCAGGCAGAAGTCATTACCTTCTTATTTGTCTTCCTCATACAAATGTTGTATTTCCTGCTTGTTCATCAGTCACCCTTTTCTGAGAGAGTGTTAGCAGCCTACTTACTGGAAAGCACCCTCACATGTATCTTAGCATAATGCTTATTACATAACGCACACCCAACACATACTTGTTCCATTGTGAACACCATCTGACTGTATAATCTGGTTTTGCCAATATCAGCTACTCCCTGTGTTCCTACATTCAGTACTTTAAATCTTGGTTATACCTTTATACAATCATCCAGACTTCCTTGTGGCTAAATCCCCTTTGATTCAACACTGATGATCTACAGGAGAGAGCACCATGAAAACAAAAGTGTCAAATAATCTTAATTAAAATTATCCATTATTACTAATATCGTCCATGTCAACATTGGTACACTTGAATCAATTTGAACATAGCACCATAGTAAAAGCTGGTATGAGGCCACTAGTGATTCATGGTGCCCCTAATTCATAGTGTCTTATGGGACATAGAGTTGATCTAGTGACTGAGTAACTGGCATTGTTAACTCCTGTTCTTTTTCAATGCTATCTTTTCCTAAATTCCCTCTCTGATATAAGCTCTGTAACATGTCCTTGGCTTAGGAATTGTTTTACAAGCTCATGGGATGTACTGTATCTGGCAAGCTATTTTCTTACTGAACAATAGAAGACATATATCAAGCAGAACAAAGCAGAACAGTTTTGAAAGTTACAATGGCTTCTTCACAAAGAACCTTTAACAAAATTTAGGGAAAAAAAAAGAAAACTTGAGGGCGCCTGGGTGGCTCAGTTGGTTAAGCGACTGCCTTCGGCTCAGGTCATGATCCTGGAGTCCCTGGATCGAGTCCCGCATCGGGCTCCCTGCTTGGCGGGGAGTCTGCTTCTCCCTCTGACCCTCCTCCCTCTCATGCTCTCTGTCTCTCATTCTCTCTCTCGCAAATAAATGAAATCTTAAAAAAAAAAAAAAGAAAACTTGAGACATTAATAGCACATCAACTAAATCAAATCTATATAAAAATATTTTTGACAATATATTGTAATCATAGGTGGATGGAACTTTCATTTCAATTTTCCAAACTCATTATTTACCTCTGTCTTTTGAGAACTTCAGTTAAGCTCTAGGAATCATATTTTAAATTCAGCCCAACACTTTTTATTTCCTTTTATTATCGATAATACTGAGCTATTTTGCATTGGGTTTAAGATTAGATTTTTGTCAGACTAGTATTCTTAATTTAGTTCTTGCCATGAATTTATAATAGAGCAAGGAAATTTCCCACCTGGGTGCTATATAATATATAATATTTAATTTGTCACTGCTCTTTCACTGTGAAGTGGAATGAATAATTTTTAGCAAAAGACATAATTTGAGATCTAAATAATATGTCAAATAGATATGTAATACTACGTGGCATTCCCTTTATTTCCTAAGAAATACTTCCTTATCATTTTGAGTAAACTATGTGGAACAGATGTGACATTCTGGATTATCTTCTTATATGTCATTTAATTTATTTTCTAATTCCAGTCACATCTTTTTATGTCCACACAGCGTAGCAGTCACAATGTCCTGTACATTCCAATGCCTGAGGAATAGTTGTTAATTTTTTTTACTATGCAACTTCTATTTTTCAGCATTTTATTTGCTTCTTGTATAAACAGGCAACAAGATCACTTGTATATTGATGAAGATGGTAGAAACGTGACACTTCTGGCAAAAGCAAATTTTGCCCAAGATTTCAGCAATTTTGCAGTGGAAATTCAAAAAACCATCAAAGCTCTCAGAGAACAGGTTCGTTTTTTTCCCCTAAGTAACATGTCCTTGTTGTAGAGATTGGAATAACTAGATTAAAAAAAAAATCTGTCCAATGACTTTGTGAATATATAGCACAATACCAGAATAATAATGAGGAGTTATTATATTTATGTGGACAATTTCCTTATAATAGTTGAATTCAGGGAAGGAGCACTGGGTAAAATCCATTTCCTTTCTACCAAATACCAATATCTTCAATACACAGGGTCCCAGTGATGGAGCTCTCTGCTCAGTGAGTTTCTGAGTTCCTGCTCAGTGTCTTTCTGAATAGTTGTGTTTGGGTGCTCTCTTTATCTCTGTGGATATAGATAATTTGTAACAGGCCAACACATACTTTTCTTATAATTTTTTTGTTTTTGAAATGGAGTCCAAACAAGCCTCTTAGGGATTACTGGTTTGTCTGGCTTTCCTTTTCTGAAAAAGCTATTGTTAAAAATGAAATTTCCACACTCCTCTGCACTTTTGCTTATTTTGCCAGGTGTTCTGGCTCATGGTTTATTTCATTTTTTCTAAAATTTGGGAATGAGTCAATGAGAGATTTGGCTTGTATTAGAAATGGCAATTAGATGGTTTTATTCAGAAATGGAAGTCTGATCTCTTTCAAGGCACGGTGCCATGCTGGCTCCTTCTTCAACTTTAATGTCACTGTGAAGCATATTCTTTCCTTCCTACCATCAGTGGTCTTGAGGCAGAAAGCACTGTAGGGGTGTGAGAAAAACCCAGGGTCTGCAGACAGGAAGTTCTACCTTTATAAGTTGTCTGAACTGGGCAATTTATTTGACCATTCAGAATAAGTGCTGTCCTCTGGACTTTCAGGAATGTTATGAGGATCAAACAAGATTATATGGCAGAGGCACTTTGTGAACAGTAACCTCCTTAACATATTACTGTTGCGTTTGAACGTAAAAATATTATCTTGTATAGAAATGCGAGATTACCTGCTCGATGTGATGTGTGTGCCACCCTTAGGGGCTGGCTGCAGCCATGGTTTGCATCAGTGTGCTACCCATCAGCACCGTTCCTTGTGACCAGAACACCAATTTGTCCAATCAGTTGTCCAATCTGAGTCTGAACATGAATCTCAAAGATGTGAAGCATTGTTTCTTGAAGGTTATTCTTGAAGGATAAGGTTATTCCATCTTGGAACGGTTGGGGTGACCTAGGACTCTGGGACCCCACTGAGTCTAGGGACCTTTATTTTATTTTCAGTGAGCTTATGTGTCATAGTTATACTGGTAAGAGAAAGTCCTCAGCACTGGGCTGCAGAAGGTAGGCCCTGTTAATTTAAACATTAATCCATTTATCTATATAGCAAATTATTTTTTCATAAACTTATTTTATGGATTTTCAGACACAGGTAGAATCCATAAGCAACATTTTAGTCCAATTTTATCTACATGTTAGTGGTGATATTTCATCTTTGATATGTGCTGTAGTGATTAGAAACATTCCATATACCCCAAGACTGCAGTAGCTGGCCCTCCTAGTTGTCCAATAACAATTTGAAGTAACACATATCTCTAAATGTATCAAGGAAAAGTGTTTTTTCCTGTTAACTTGCTCTATCTCTTCCATTATATTGTAAATTTCTTAATAGCTGGTGCCGTTTCACTGCTGGATCCTCAGTGACTGACATATAGTACTTGTTTAAAAACAACCAATGTTGGGGCACCTGGGTGGCTCAGTCTTTAAGCAATGGCCTTCGGCTCGGGTCATGATCCCAGGGTCCTGGGATCGAGCCTCACATCCAGCTCCCTGCTCAGCGGGAAGCCTGCTTCTCCTTCTCCCACTCCCCCTTCTTGTGTTCCCTCTCTCGCTGTGTCTCTCTCTGTCAAATAAATAAAATCTTTAAAAAAAAATAAAATAAATAAAAACAACAGATGCTTCTTTTTGTTTTGTTTTTTATTATTTTATTTTATTTATTTGTCAGAGAGAGAGAGAGAGAGTGAGCACACAGCAGGGGCAGAGGGAGAAGGAGAAGCAGGCTCCCCACTGAGCAGGGAGCCCAATGCAGGGCTCGATCCCAGAACCCTGGGATCATGACCTTAGCTGAAGGCAACCACTTAACCGACTGAGCCACCCAGGCAACCCTGTCTTCTTTTTGAACTCAAAAAGTTCTGGATCTATGAGGAATGTAAAGGGTTTGTAAGGATTGGACAAATATGGAAGAGGCAGTTTAGAAGGTCCTGAGAGCTCTTACAGGAGTCAGGTTTTCCTGAGCTGTGGCAGGACACACTGATGGGAAGAGGGGGCAGTAGGGCACAGAACTGTGGGCACACTGAATGAAAACCAACAAAATCTTGACAGATAAAAATTGAATGAGTAAATAAATATGACATAATACCAGCATTGGGAAATATTGATTCAAATCAGAAATCAACCCAGATCATGTAAAGTAGATTGAAAAAAGAAAATAAAAGGTTTAGAATGGAACACAGAGATAAATTGACCATATTTCCTGGGTGGCTTTCAAGAGCATCTACAACAACGTCTATGACCAGAGCAAGAAGCACTCAGAGGTGGACAGGATGATGAAGACAGAAGTTTTGAGGACAAAGCATATTTTCAGATATAACAAGCCCTTAGGATTTGTGAAATTAATATTTGTTGTTAATCTGTCATTTACTGTATAAAGACCTGCGTTTTAATGGTCTGTGTTAATGTGAAATTCATCCTCTTAGCTAAAGAAGGACATTTCTAAATGTGCAGTGTGTGCAGCTTTGTAGCTTTTCTGTTGCTTATCAACATGAATGCAATACATTCTGTAAATAAATAAAAAACAAAAATTAAATCCTTTATTTTATGAAAAGTGAGCATCCAGATAAAGCCATGTGTATTTCTCATGGTAAAATTAAAGACAATGAAGAAGTAGATTAAACAGAATATAGAAACTGTAGTCCATAGTGGTATTCATCATGTAGGAGATTATTATTATTCTTTTTTTTTTAAGATTTTATTTATTTGAGAGAGAGAGAATGAGAGACAGAGAGCATGAGAGGGAAGAGGGCAGAGGGAGAAGCAGACCCCCTGCTGAGCAGGGAGCCCGATGTGGGACTTGATCCCAGGACTCCAGGATCATGACCTGAGCCGAAGGCAGTCGCTTAACCAACTGAGCCACCCAGGTGCCCCGAGATTATTGTTATTCTTGAGACCATCCCTTGTCTAAGACACAAGATTCCAACCTTCAGTTACTAGCCATGGGTTTCTACCTTTACTTTCTGACCCTAGGTGCATTTTGTCTACGGGGCTGTGAAATAGTGCCAGTCTTGACATTTTCCATTGTTGGTGGTTTACATTTATTAGGTGACTTTGGAATGTCTAGAAAAGATATTCATTAATGGTGGTCCTTTAACCATGATAGAATCAAAGTAATGAAGGTGGTCTGCAAATTCCATGGTGTTATAGGTGTTTTGTAATCAGTGGATTATAGTAAATTATATTTGCCTTTAAATATGATTCTGATCATTGTAGAGATAACTAGAGCCATAACTACATTCAGAACATTTAATTATTTCAATCTGTGATAGTGCCTAATTTACATGGCTGTAAAGAGTGTGTGTGTTGCAGGGGGGAGGTGGTATATAATGAACAATGAGATGATATATAAGAACTTATACCTTTAATTAAAATTAAATTCTTAAAATGAGGTTTTCAAACTGTTTGATGTCACAGTAAGTGCTTTATAAAGAATAGTTGAAACTTTGGGACAAGTTCTCAGATCTCTAGTATCCTTTTGTATGAATATAGAGTAAAATAAGACATACATTCGGACTCAAACCATCAGATTTTTTAAGAGAAATCTAGGCCATTCAAATAAGCTCTTAAGCCATTTATTTCAAGTTCTATTCAAGCTAAATAAGACACGCAAGTTTGCATTTAATATTTAAAATTAATTAAAATAAGCATATACTATATTTTTGTATAAATGTCAATATCATAATAAAACTGAATTGTAGTCTTCATATGGTATATGCTTTTTCCACAGCCCTTTGGTATAATGGATATGTTTTCTCTTTCTCTAGGAGCCTCTCATACAGATATTTATTATTTTATGGTTGAGGTTCATGGTGTTTACACCTCTGTCATTATATTATTTTCCAGAGCTAGAATTTACTTAAATTGTTATAGGCTTGGAATTTATCTTGCAAGTATATCATTTGTTTATAGAAAACAAAATGCTCTGTACATTTGATGCAATTTCTAGAGTCTCAATGTAGTAAAAAATGGAGTCTACCTGTTTTATTATATGGGCCTAAATATCATTTTTCAGATATTGTGTCATACATGATCAGATCTCAGACCTTATGGCACAACTCAAAAACAGTGCCTAATTTTGAGTATCAATGAATAGTACAATGGAGATACACAGATATCACTAAATAATTTGCATGTACTTAAGATCATTTGGAACACCACATCAATATTATGACATTTTAGAGTGAATTTTCTTTTTTAATATTTTATTATTTCTTAATATGAAATAATTTGCAAGTGATTTAAAAATTTTTCAATAGAAAGAAGAAACACTAAAATTAAATTTAAAATGTAATCTCATTTTATTTCCCAAGGAGATGTATAAGTCAGTTTTCAGTGAAAATAACAGAAACCCTCTAGTAATTACAAGTAAGATGGGTTTAAATACAAGAAGTCATAGGTTTTCACAACCTTTGGAAGGGTGAGAGGAATAGAGGTAATAGAAACAGGTGCTGGAAGCTATTTGGTTCACAGGAGCTCATTTGGAAGCCACAGTGAGTCTCAACAATTTCGCAGGAGCCTGAAGCTCAGCCTATGTACCTGTTAACAGTTGTGCTTGAGAATAATACTCCTTTCCTTTCCAATCTTACATGAGTGCCTCTCATTGGTAGACTAACCCAGAACCATAATGGGAAGGAAGTTAGGGTATAGTTGTCTAGATTTCTCCTCTGAGATCTATGTAAAAGGGTGCAGTTGATGATAATTTAATGATAGATAACCCA